TCAAAGCACCAGATCACAGCATCCTTTCGGGCAATGTGATCGACTATGCCCTGCTCCACACTTCGTTGGCATCAACCACGGCTCTCACCACAGACTGGGCTGTCCCCTGGCGGCCGCACACACTCCTTACACTCCAACTGAACATTGAAGCAGCCACCAAGGAGTGCCAGGTGCAACACTTTCCACCCCTGCCGGCGACACCAGACATCGACTTCAGGCCGTGGACCTCCTATCAATCTCAGGCCTTTGAGATTGAGCTCTACGGCATTCCACCCAATGGCCAAGCCAAGCAATGGGCTGACTGGCTGTCGTGCGCCGAGCAGTACCTGCTCCAGGAGCATGCCTGGGCGGCTCAGGGCAGAGGTGCCAATTTGAGGGTAGCCATCAAACCCTTGGCGTCCACCAAGATCACCACTACGTGGAGGAAGGGTAAGCCTGCCTTTTGGGAACAACTCCAAATCAGGTTCCAGCTGGCCATGAAGCAACCCACCACCATGCAAGCAGGACAGTACGAGGCTTCAAGCAAACCCTCCAAGATGTTCCAAAACATTGGATCGGACCTGCCACTTGGGGACAGCTCTTCGACACCAGTCACCACTGGCTGAAATACCGAGATCCCCACGCAGCAGAACTGGTGCTTCACACCATTGCACACCAGCTCAAAGAAGCACAACAAGCAGCCAATGATGAAAGCCATTTGCAATACAAAGAATGGCTGAAGCAAGGAGAAGCAAAAGGCCTCCGTGGTTTGTTCCGCAGCCTCAAAAGCAGTGAACTGGCCTGGGAGCGACCCTATCGGCAACTCCCTCCTGAGGACAGGATGACACAAAGGCTTCACGACTGGGGACAACTTATTTGGCAGATCAGACAAAGCGACCAGCCACATGAACGACCCAGCCCAAGCACAACAGCTTGAACCCTTGACCATAGGTCAACTGGCATGGGTCCTTAAGAACCTACCTGACAAAGCATGTGGACCGGACGCTGTAACAGCCCAGCTCCTCAGGACAGCCCCACAGTTGAAACTATCATGCGGGACCTGGGAGTTGACCATCAAGGTGCACGGAGGAGGAGGATTCCAGTCATGAAGCAAAGACTGGCAAAGGCCCACAAAAGGAAGCTGAAGCTACGCACTCTGCGTATCCCGACCTTGAAGATCAGGTTACGTCTCCACAGGGGAGGCATCCAGCCAGCAGCTCTATGGGGTGTGGAAGGACAAGGCTTAGCACCCCGCTACCGCACATCCCTCCGGCAGGCCATGGCCAAGCACCTGGGCCATCACAATGGAGGTCTACTTGACAGCACCTACGATCTCCATCACAAAAAGTACATTGATCCCGGAGACCAAGTCATCATACACCACATCAGAGCCATCCACAGCCTCATCCATGCCTGGCCCACAGAGCAAATGGCTGCCTTGGAACAAGCCTGGGCAACCACCTACAACCAGCTCCAGACCAAAATGGTACACAGTCCGGGGACCCATGACTGCTGCCATCACATATCTCCAAGAGTGGGGATGGCAAGCAGGAAGCTCGACCTGCACCAACCCTGGTGGAAGTTGGAGAGGGCCCTGCTTCAGGAAGCCAGGACACAACGCATCAACAGATTGGCAAGCAGACCATACCATCACCTCATTGCAGGACTGGACTGGCACACATATCATGAGGTGAAGAAAACACTACCTGCCCAAAGCAAGCATCACCTCAACACGTGGGTCCAAGCAGCCGTGCAATATCGAGAGGCCACCAAGGTCAAAAGATGCCCGCTGTGTCAGGTCGATGCCACACCAAAGCACATCCTATGGCTATGCAAATGGCACAAGACACAGAAACATGAACCAATGCCGCCAGAATGGATGGAGAGAATCACCTCCAAAGATGAAGAACCTCTATGGTCAGCAGGCTGGGTTCCCTTGGAACCGCAAGAGCACCGATCCCAGGACCACCCATACCAAGGCCATGGTTGCTGGGCGGAACTGGCACCCTAGCACCCCAACCACACAACGGCTGGGCCTACACCCTGGATGCCACACCATCCTCCTACGACGAACGCAACCAAATGTGGGTGTTTGGACTATGCGTTCACACCATGTCCTTAGGGCAACTGCAGAGGCTCGGTGCCATCACGGGAGTCGCCAAGGGAGCACAAACCAAAGCCAGAGCACTGCTGGCAGGAGTGGTAGCCCTGGCCAAACATACCACCACACAGGCCAAGGTCATCGTCCAGCTAGCCACAGTCTGGGAGGCTTGGCACCAACCCAGGAGCAGAGCAGCTTTCCAAGACCTCCTCGAAGACATCTCTGAGCAAGACTTCAGGCGCATCACAGTGCTCTACATCAGCAGAGCAACCAGAACTCCTGATGCTCCAGGCAACGAGCCACAGCTCCGGCGGCGCCAGAGAGACTCAGCCCTAACAGCCTGGGAAAGGGCCAAACAGTTCCAAGACCACAAACAAGCTGAATGGCAAGAAGTCTTGGATTCTGACCACAAGGTGATATACACCCATGCTGTGCAACGGCTGGCCAAGATCTACGACGATCCCCAGCACTTCATTCACCAGAAGGCTCCCAGACATCAAGGGAAGCACACCAAGCAGTACAAACGTGACCTCGTAAAGCAGTGTGCCAAAGTCTGGGCAGACAACCATCACCGGTGGGAACCACATCTCAGCGGGTACCAATGCACGGCGTGTGGAACAAGAATGCACCAAGGGCTGACCAAAAGCATTCTCGAAGAACGCCTCCATGAAGACTGTCCACAAGTCCTCATTGAAGATGCCCATGCCACGCCAAACAAAGCTGAACCCCTGGCCAAGAAGAACACCAGGGCCCAGGTCATCAAAGACCTACTGCACCGTCAGCAGCAACAAGCCCCGGGCCCTTCAGAGCACCATTATGCAGAGACCACAGGATACCTCAAATGCCTCAAATGCGGGGTCAACACCCACAAACGAGTCAATGAAGAGGCCTTCCAACACTTCATCACATCCAAGTGTATCGATCAGGCCTACCCGCAGCCACCACAAGGCCACCCAAGCCACAGTTTGTGGCAAAAGGGGGAGAAGGTGAAGTGCACCCAATGTGGCTGTCAGTGGAACCTTGATGGAGAGCAGCGCATCATCACCAACCAGGTGTTGTCCAAAGTCTGCAAAGGAGCTGGCGCCAAAGGCTCACCACCACTCAGCGAGTTCTTCAAGAAAAAGGGCGACACCCACAGCCAAGCAGAGGGAGACCACAAGCCCACTGCGGAACCCGAGCCGGCGGTCAGCACAAGGCCAACACCACGCAGGCTGCACTTTCCCACCTCCCTGGATGACAGGGAGTCAACCGCCAAAGAGCCTCGCCAACCTCAACTTTAGAAGAACAAATACATACATACATACATACATATAATTCGTGTGTTTCTGTGCACATTGTACCACTCCAGGCTGCACAAAATGTGCCCGGACCGGTGAAAAGAACAAAAAACACTTTTGAAGTCGGAGAACTGTCGCTGACAGTTACGAGATCGGCGACCCCTCATGTCCCCGCTTGCACATCTGCGGGATGGGGCAATACTAGCCGTGTGGCCCGTGGATGCCCGCGGGATCAATTTGAGTGTATTCTAGTTCTGCTGATTGGACCTTTGATGCTCCAGCACTCCAATCCCCGAACTAGCCGAACACATTCCCGAAAATAGCGGCATTCCCAAAAAATTTGAATCCAAACGAAGCAGGAAGTGCCGAAGCAAGCCAACACATACCAGCGCCAAAGTGGGAGATTGAAAACCATTAAATTTGTTACACACAATTTTGGCCACCACAACAACAGTTTGGAACTGCGGCCCAGCGATTGGCAGGTTGGTTGGCAAGCACAGCGGTTTTACCAGCAACTCAAGAGCAGCTAATGCATCGCGTTTTCAACATTACCAGCGGGACGTCTTCAAGTTCCAAGTTGCTTGGCAAAAAGTTCCAATCAATGTGAACCCTGAACTCGATGATCATGGTGACTACACCAATTTGCTAACTACACCAAAGTGCTGATTCATGGCTGCACTCCCTCGTGCCACTTCAAGCTTCATACATCATTCTGGTTTCGCAGGGCGTTTTGTCACTCCTGACCTGCAAGCATTCAGTCATGTATTACATGTTCAAATTGTGATGTCAACTTGTTGCATCCATTTACTTCCCTTGTGAAAAATGTTGGTTAAGGTCCTGTAACGGAGGTCAGAGCGTTCGCAGTGTGACCAGTTGGGGAATTCCTGAGATCATCCTGTTTGAGATCCTTCCTCAACAAACCTCTCTTTCTGTTGCCAGGATGACAAAAGGATACCCTTTTGATTTAGCAGGTGCCGGAGGCAGCTGCCAAAGCCTGCCATGCTGAGGCCAAGTTGTTCTGACCTCACCGACAGTAACACCACAGACAAGGCTATAGTGACATCTGGCAGCGATGAAAAGCGGCAAACTGCTGCTCAGGAGGGCACTACCATGTATATGGATCAGTGTGATTGTAAATTAAGATCGGTATGATGGATCGTGTATCATGTGGATCAGTGCTGATTAGTGTGACTTAAACCGGCCTTGAATTAGGCTCTGGTGATCTTTCCGCATGACTAGCTGCTTTGCTTCTGCAGATGATGTCACTCCTTTGAGATAGTACATGACACGCAGTTTGCTAGAGAAGTTTGCCTGGAATGCCATTGGACGCCTCGGGCCCGGCCCGAGCAGGAGCCGCCCAGAGCTGAGGGCGCTCCTACTTCAAGCGGTTCATGGCACGCTGTGACAGCTACTCTGCCACTGTATGATTTGCCGTCACGAGGTTCCATAGGGCATTTGGAAGGAAGGTGTTCCTTGGCAAATAAATTTGGGTTTGGTTCACTGATCCTGCCACACAAAAGAGACGTCCGAAAAGCAGGTTCGAACTACAAACATGAGCCTAGCATGGCAGCAGGTGGCTTCGTGCTGTCGGCCCAACTTTTGCGGAAGCCAAGGTCAGCCGTGCCGATTTATCAACTTGCCAGATGGATGTCGCAATGGCTATGAGTGCACGTTTTGCCATGACGATCATGAAGTCGCTACTGGCAAAACACATCGGCCCTCTAAAGGAGTTCGTTCAGGCTACAAGCGTTCTGTTAATCAGATCATCGAGTCTGACCTGCCTGAGGACTGCTTGTGCTCACATCGATTGTTTGTTTTTCTCAAGAACGCTGTGCAATGAGACAGCTCATGTAAAGAGTCATGTGAAGATCGTGGAAGAACTAATGAGTCTATCACATCATAACATCTTATCCAGGAGCAGAAGCTTGAGGCCTACAAGCGTTTAGCCGAGAGGAGTCCTTACATGCGTTGCTTGATCAAGGCGGTGGTGCCCAACATCGATGAGATAGTGCGATCTGAAGCACCCGAGTTCGAACGGGAGTGCGTGCCACGAACTCCAGGGCTACAGCCCAGTCCAAAGGAGGCCGGTTATTTCTCCGAATCCAAGATTTCTTTATAGCGATGGGAAGTGATGCAACCATGAGTGGCAGAGTGTGCAAGCCACTTAGCGACATGACCGCACCAGTTTGAGCCGGTGGATGGAAGAGAACACAGCAGGCTGTCGGCAACCAAAAGCTTGTGCAGATGGACCATGCTAGGCATGGACCAAAATTTGCTGGAAGCTGTGCCGTGTCACCCAGAGAGGCCGGTTTTCTTGTGGGATGTTCGCTTCAAGTTTTATAGATCATCCTCCCAGGCCTGTTTTTCGGGAGCGTTGATGAGCATTGATGTTACTGTTAAAGAGGGTTCTTTGCTGTGGATATCATAAGACCAAGACCCAAATACTATGGCAAACCAGGTCTTTGTTCAGCACTAGGAGGAATTCAGCGTCTCCATCTCCACATGAACGGCGACCCGCATGAACCCTCCTTTCAGCAGAGGGCTGCCTAGGGCAGCGGCTGGGAGCGCAGCTGACAACCGTGCTGGATGGGTGATTCGATTCCGACGCCCGACACATTTCAAGGCAATGGGGGTTGAGGTGCTATTGGTTGGACGAAGAGACAATTTACGAAGGACTTCGATGACCAGTGATTTGGTGACAAAGAGTTAGTTAGTTGCATAATGTTCAAAGGAAGTTTAGTGTGCAAAACTTCCGTGTTACGGACATTCAACAGCTGTTCAACCACCACTCATCATACACCACTCATCAAACACCACTCATCATACACCACTCATCATACACCACTCATCATACACCACTTTTCATACACCACTCATCATACACCACTCATCATACACCACTCATCATACACCACTCATCATACGCCACTTTTCATACACCACTCATCATACACCACTCATCATACACCACTCATCATACACCACTCGTCATACACCACTCATCATACACCACTCATCATACACCACTCATCATACACCACTCATCATACACTACTCATCACACACCACTCATCACACACCACTCATCATACACTACTCATCATACACCACTCATCATACACCACTCATCATACACCACTCATCACACACCACTGATCACACACCACTCATCATACCACTCATACACCAGCTCTGGTTTCAACAGCTCAAGCTCCAGGCAACTCCAGCTCCAGGTGCAGATTGCGTGGCAGGTGCAGCACTTTGTGTACCTCCATGTGCAGATTTCCTGGCAGGCACAGCACTTTGTGAACCTCCATGTGCAGATTTCGTGGCAGGTGCAGCACTTGTGAACCTCCATGTGCAGATTTCCTGGATTTCGTGGCAGGCACAGCACTTTGTGCACCTCCATGTGCAGATGTCGTGGCAGGCGCAATACAAAATGCGTAGTGGAGAGATAGCGAACGCACGAAATGCTGTATTTTTCAATGGAACCGGTGGCTCCGAAGCTGGCAAGTCAAGGTCTGCGGAACGACGGGTGCGAGACGGTCTCGGATCATTCTCGGAATCGTCCGTCCATTGGGATTAGGGTTTTCACTTGTTTCTTGAAGTGCAGATTTAGTGGCAGGTGCAGCACTTTGTGAACCTCCATGTGCAGATTTCGTGGCAGGTGCAGCACTTTGTGTACCTCCATGCGCAGATTTCCTGGCAGGCACAGCACTTTGTGAACCTCCATGTGCAGAATTCGTGGCAGGCGCAGCACTTTGTGAACCTCCATGCGCAGATTTCGTGGCAGGCACAGCACTTTGTGCACCTCCATGTGCAGATGTCGTGGCAGGCGCAATACAAAATGCGTAGTGGAGAGATAGCGAACGCGCGAAATGCTGTATTTTTCAATGGAACCGGTGGCTCCGAAGCTGGCAAGTCAAGGTCTGCGGAACGACGGGTGCGAGACGGTCTCGGATCATTCTCGGATCATTCTCGGGAGCGTCCGTCCATTGGGATTAGAGTTTTCACTTGTTTCTTGAAGTGAAGATTTCGTGGCAGGTGCAGCACTTTGTGAACCTCCATGTGCAGATTTCGTGGCAGGTGCAGCACTTTGTGTGCAGATTTCCTGGCAGGCACAGCACTTTGTGAACCTCCATGTGCAGATTTCGTGGCAGGTGCAGCACTTTGTGTACCTCCATGTGCAGATTTCCTGGCAGGCACAGCACTTTGGGAACCTCCATGTGCAGATTTCGTGGCAGGTGCAGCATTTTGTGAACCTCTATGTGCAGATTTCGTGGCAGACACAGCACTTTGTGCACCTCCATGCGCAGATTTCGTGGCAGGTGCAGCACTTTGTGAACCTCCACGTGCAGATTTCCTAGCAGGTACAGCACTTTGTGCACCTCCATGTGCAGATTTCGTGGCAGGCACAGCACTTTGTGCACCTCCATGTGCAGATGTCGTGGCAGGCGCAATACAAAATGCGTAGTGGAGAGATAGCGAACGCACGAAATGCTGTATTTTTCAATGGAACCGATGGCTCCGAAGCTGGCAAGTCAAGGTTTGCGGAACGACGGGTGCGAGACGGTCTCGGGTCATGCTCGGATCATGCTCGGAATCGTCCGTCCATTCGGATTAGAGTTTTCACTTGTTTCTTGAAGTGCAGATTTCGTGGCAGGTGCAGCACTTCGTGAACCTCCATGTGCAGATTTCGTGGCAGGTGCAGCACTTTGTGCACCTCCATGTGCAGATTTCCTGGCAGGCACAGCACTTTGGGAACCTCCATGTGCAGATTTCGTGGCAGGTGCAGCACTTGTGAACCTCCATGTGCAGATTTCCTGGATTTCGTGGCAGGCACAGCACTTTGCGCATCTCCATGTGCAGATTTCGTGGCAGGCACAGCATCTGGAAACCTGGAAGCTGAGAACTGGCGACTTTGTAGTACAACTTCAGTACGCGGAGTATCTGGCGAGCTGGACGATGAGAACTGGCGACTTTGTAGTACAACTTTAGTACGCGGAGTATCTGTGGAGCTGGAAGCTGAGAACTGGCGACTTTCTAGTACAACTCTAGTACGCGGAGCAATCTGTAGAGCTGGAAGCTGAGAACTGGCGACTTTCTAGTCCAACTTTAGTACGCGGAGCAACCTGTAGAGCTGGAAGCTGAGAACTGGCGACTTTGTAGTACAACTTTAGTACGCGGAGTATCTGGCGAGCTGGGCGATGAGAACGGGCGACTTTGTAGTAAAACTTTAGTACGCGGAGCAATCTGTAGAGCTGGAAGCTGAGAACTGGCAACTTTCTAGTACAACTTTAGTACGCGGAGCAATCTGTAGAGCTGGAGGCTGAGAACTGGCGACTGTGTAGTACAACTTTAGTACGCGGAGCAATCTGTAGAGCTGGAGGCTGAGAACTGGCGACTGTGTAGTACAACTTTAGTACGCGGAGCAATCTGTAGAGCTGGAAGCTGAGAACTGGCGACTTTCTAGTACAACTTTAGTACGCGGAGCAATCTGTAGAGCTGGAAGCTGAGAACTGGCGACTTTCGAGTACAACTTTAGTACGCGGAGCAATCTGTAGAGCTGGAAGCTGAGAACTGGCGACTTTGTAGTACAACTTTAGTCCGCGGAGCAATCTGTGCAGCTAGAAGCTGAGAACTGGCGACTGTAGTACAACTGCAGTACGCGGAGCAATCTGTAGAGCTGGAAGATGAGAACTGACTGGCGACTTTCTAGTACAACTTTAGCACGCGGAACAACCTGTGGAGCTGGAAGCTGAGAACTGGCCACTTTGTAGTACAAGTGTAGTACGCGGAGGAGTCATCTCTCGCGACTGAGTCATCTCTCGCGGCGTGCAGGTTTGGCACAGTTCATACTGATAGTATTTGGTTGCATTTATGCAGGACAGGACATTCAACTGCTGGTCAATACACCACTCATCATACACACTGATCCTGCAGGGGGCACACACCTTACACACGTGGAATCCCGTGGGTCAAAAGTCCGGAGCGCGTGCGTTTGACTGGAGGACGCGCATGTTGGAGAGAAGGTGGACACTCCTATAGGTCAATTTGTTCTTATAGGAAACTTCCGCCGCCGGCTTGCCCGGGAACTGCTTGTACACAGTTGATTCCATTCCTTGAATCATGCGACACTTTGGGTATTGCACTCGTGTCGTGGCGCAAAAGGAAACGAATTCAAGTCCAACCAGAATGGTTATAACCAATTCAGGAGCCTGGTGGCTTCAGCAGCACACACCCACACCGTCCATGCGCTGGCGTGCTGGGCCACCAAGTCAAGAACAAAGATGGAAATGAAGTTCGAGAACTTTTGGGGGGTGAGTCATGAACAATGTGGTGTTGCATGGTTTTGGTTTGTTCTCCTGTTCACCCTTTGGGCTGGGCAGACTTGGTGAGAAAAAAACATTCCCGATGGCGATACCGTCGGGTGTGATGATCCGACGGGGCACGGGAACGAGTATGAAGTGCACAGCCAAACCTCCGGGTCTGGTTCTCACCACGGCGAGGTTGGAAGAAAGGAAAGAATCACAAAGCAACACACCCCTCATACAATAATTCTTCACTTCTTAGGCCAGCCCCTTGAAAAGGTCACACAGTCTGTTGCAGACGAGCTCGTTGGTGAATAGATGTTTTGAGTGGACGGTGCCAGCCTGTGCGAACACAATCCCAGATACAAACTAAAAATCACTGCATTTGTTGCAAAAAAGAACTCGGCGGCATGTGAGAGGGACAAGTCCAATGAGTCAGGGCATGTTCACTCAGTCAAGGGCCTGGGTGTTCAATCGCCAGCGCGTTTGGATTTATGTCACATAGATTAGGTATGCAGCATTGGGCAATGACATGGCAGCCTCTCCTTTCAAAATGTGGACGTGACAAATTCTAGTGATAGTATCCAACAACCACTGTATCATACTGTATCATGGTGTCGGTGTCGGAGAACTTCAGTGTCCTGTCCCACACCGATGCACATCTCAAACGCCTGTTCCAGGCATTGGTGGAAAGATGTGTGACAGGCTCCGTGCTTTAAGGTCAGCAAGACTTTAGAAGAAAAAATGACGAAATGGCCACTCTTGTGCTAAACCGCATGAACTAAATCAGAGGTGCAAGAAAGAGGAGACGTAGGCCATACACTCTAAGAGATGAAAAGCAACTTTATCCCAGACGCTGGATTTCTGTAGGCTTACACGCTTTCACCGCAGGGGCCGACGGGGGGTGAAGACTCGGAACCGAGTCTGCAGCGACAGGGGCTGAAAATGCTTAAGTCACGCTGCGACGGAAGGGCCAATGCTGGGTCCTTCCGAGCTGAAATGGAGTTCAGACATGTTCAGACTCCTTGCTACATGAAGGAGTTGACTTTGGATAAGTTGGCAAGATGAGTTTCAAGACAAGTGTCTGTGTGTTAAAGCATCCTGTTTGCGCCATGTTGGACTTTTAAATGCTTCTGGCATGGTCATTGACCTATCCAAGAGGCTGTTGAAGGCCCTGCTATCATTGATGATTGTGAAAGAATTATATATATAATATATATGTGTGTGATTGAAGAGCCCCAGTCGACTTCAAGTAGTTGTCCATTAATACAATATATACATATATATATTCTCTTTGTTCAGACATTTGGCAATGTTCCTAGGGTCAGGCATGCTAACTTGTAGTATAACTATGACTGATTTCACACCGTTCGCCCAGAACCAGGCTCAGCCGTTTAGACCGCAGATTGGTGGCTCAATTGGTGGAACCTCCGGGGGTTGCAACAGCAAAGGCTTTCGTCGTAAAAGCAAGACTTGTTCGTCATACAGCTCTCCTGGAGTACACGTTCCACCCGTGACGCGGACTTTCTGGGGCACTGGCCAATCTGAGCTTGAGTCGTCGGCACCTTGAGTTTGCATGGATCCATGTGGAATTAGTTGTGCATGTTGGGGTAGGTTGTTGCCTTATGAACGCTAAGGCCACCATGCCGGGGTCCATGAGTCCTGCCGGTATTCTCTTGATGGAGGACGCGGTCAAATTATATTGGATTGTTCAAAAGCGGGTCATGTGTAGCAAAACACGGTCACGTTGTGTGAGGCTCCTTTCTGTTTTTTACTTGTCCCTGCGGCCTTTGTTCGTTCGAGGGGGCATGTCCTCCGTAGATTTTGGTTGGCAAGGGTTGGTTTCAAGTGTTGATACGCCTGGCTGCTTGAGCAAAGTGCGGGTGAGACGTTGGCATTTCCTGTGCAAAGGCCCATACATCCCATGAACATCATTCTGGTAGGCTCATTGCATGTGTGTAAAAGACATCTGGAACATAGATATAGTATATATAGTGTAGTTATATATATATATATAGTTATCATTGTGCATTACGTTATTTATATACCTCAATTGATTAGGCTTTAGTGACTTAGGCTAGGACTCGAGCAGGGCAGGACGGAATGTGCCACAGATGGGAAATGCAAGACAGGTGCATCTATGACCGTCTATATGTGATGCTTAGGCTTTGTGACTGCACAGCGTTGTATGTGATGCTCAGTGTCCTTCTTGATATTGATACTCAGATACTCATTGAAGTACGCATCAAGTTGATATGAGTACTTCCATTGGTTTCATGGGCTCCGTGAACTTGAACTGAGATGCATGCAACAAAAGCCTATGTAATGTACCTAGTGCCTGCAGGGTCATTAGTAGTATATAGAGTTACGAGAAGGGACGTGCTTGTTTTGACTTATAGGCCTTCAGCCAAGGTGTTCCAAAAAGTCACCAAGTGTCTTGGGAGACGCCTGTGAAGATATCTACAGCTGTTTGAGGCCGTTGGACGGTTTGATTCATTCGGTTGCAGGACACATTGAACAAGATGATCTACAAGGATGGTGGCGCCCTTGGGGATCATGGGGGGTCGGAACTTCGGCAAAGTGTTAACCTGCATGCCATGTCTCATTGACTCGTCAGGGACTGAGCTCGCGTAGCCTTCTTGATCCAAGCTGTCGATTGCAGCGGTCAATGATGCACCTGAAGTCACTTGAAAATCTGTCCAAATAAAGAGACCATATGAGAAAGGCTGCAAGGAGTGCTGGCCAGATCCGAGTTTGGTGTACTTCACCCGTGTACTTCACCCACCGTTTGTTCGGGCTCAGGTTCCCGGAGCTTACGAAGTGACAAGGCGAAGGGGTTGGTCCCAAGAGGATCTCATTCGTCGCCAGCTCAGCCGCTGCCCTTGCTCTCGGACTAGTGAGACACTTAAGGACTCTCCCGTCCTTCTGCTCTGTCCGCCGATGTTTTCGGGGCAGAGTGGGCTCAGGTGCTTCGGAGACTTTCCACCAGATTTGCTGCCACAAAACCTGAGGTGCAGAAAGAGTCATGAACCTTTAGAGTCGTGAAAGTGAACCCAAACCTCTGCGTGACGGAGTTGAAACCGTGTGGCACAGGCCGAAGGCTCGGGCCACTTGGCAGCACCTTTCACAGCGTCCAGCCGTCCAACGGTTTGAGGATTTATTTTCAGGTCGAGCAGACCTGGAACTCAGAGCAGGCTGTAAGAATGACCCATGGACCCCATATGGACCCCGTATGGACCCATTGCAATCAGGTCGTTTTTCTGCTTTGCCCTGTGTGTTTGATTGTATTTTACCATTGGCTCCTTTCGCCCCCAATGCAGGGCCTTTGCATGCATTGATGCCCAGCGCACAAGGCACGGCCTCAATCAGCAGGAGCAATCCTGCAGAACAATCCAATGTGTTGCACTTAGCTGTCATGGCGCTTTGCAAGGCTGCCAGATATCCTTGTTTTTGCTGTCCAACCATGCTCCACCTGTACATGAATGTGGATGAAAGCTACCAAATGCAAGTTAGCTGTCCGCTTTGCATTTGCCAGCTGCATCCTACTGCACATCGAATGTTACAATTAGTCTAACACTAGCCTATTCGGGCCAACCAATGTGCAGTTCATGAGACAGACTGGGAGAGGCAATCGATAACAATCGCATCTTGAAAGTCCGTTGTAACGATAAAGAAGAACGAGCACGAGCCCTTCTAGCGACCGCACGAGAGAAAGGAACGGCATTGCAACCGCACGATCACGAACCGTTGCGCTACGCGGTACTACGTTGCGCGCACTGTGCGAACCGGCGCTGTCGCCTCTCAGGCTGTTGTCAAGGAGCCAAAGCGACTCACAGGTCCGGGAGTCGGACCAGTCAGGACGCAACTCCGCGACGCGAGTTTCTGAGGTTGCTTCACTTGTGGAAATGGGAAAACGAAGATGGCAGAAGGAAACGCTAAGTCCTTCATGATGCATAGTCCTTCAAAGTCCTTCCATTCAGCTGAAGACCTAGGTGTGATATAATTAAGCAGTCTTTTATTCAGTCCGGCACTACCGGACTGCTGGCATAGCCGGCTCCATTGGGAAAGCGCGTGCCGCGTGTGCCTTGCCCCAGATACGACCACAGCGACCTCAATCTGCTGGAGCCGTGGTGCAGAGACCTAGATGTTTGATGTCCACGAGCCATTCACATTCATTCACCAATTACACCACTTGTACCCATCAGAATGTTTGGAAACCATTTCTGATTACTGTCACTCATACTTGATGTGCTCAGCGCATGAGTTTAGGATATTTAGGGCGATTTGAGGGCCATTGGAAGACTGTGTCAGCCGTTTCAGTCGAGACCGGCGAGAGCCCGACCCACCTCCTGAACCTTCCGCTCTCAGGGCTCGACTTTGCGAGCTCAAGGTTCCGCAGTGCGACTGACACAGTCTGCCCCTGAGGAAGGTCGCCTTAGGGTTTCGGCACAGGCTGCAGGATAGGAAGGTCATGCAGTTTAGGTCACACAGTTTGCATGAACACATCCAAGGGCGCACGTCCTCATGGTCGCACTTAAAAGGTAGTGCGTCACATGTCCTCAGTCACCGAGTCACCCAGCATGTGCTTCCTAGGACAGACCCAAGACGCGCGATGTCACGTCCCAAAACGGCGACGCTGCAGTGCCCTCAGACCTGGACCATTTGAGGAATCCGCGTGTTTGATAGTGCTGTGGATTCAGGTGGGTGGTGTTTGGATTCAAGAGCCCAGAAGAAGCCCAGGAGACCACAACTTCTTGCAAGGAAAGCTTGATCTTGAATGACTTGAATGCCTGGCCGGGTGCTGCATGAATCAAACCATTCGTTCCCACAGTGGTAGTTAGTGCCTCAGCCCAGAAGGACTCAGCCATGAGCTTTAGTTCGCTTCCATGGCTTCTGGCTTTGGTGCCCTGTGTGGCACAAGAAGCCATCAAAGTCGAGCTCACTGAGGTCCAGAGCCTTCCAGCTGTAGCAAAATCCGATAGAATCCACATGTGCTTTGCAGATTTTGCAGTCCGTTTGGTGCACGAAAGGTGCCTCAGGCTTTTCCACCCATGGGGCTTTGCTTCTTCCCGTGTTCATCCTGTTTCAATCTTTTCACATTCTGATTCTGTGTAGTTCATGTGTATGGAAATACCATGTTGATGTCAAAATTGACCGGGAATGAACCCATGGCAGGCGGCTGCCAAGGGGGCAGTTTGCTTGGATGGGTCTCCAGCGGCATACTACCTCCTCAAGGGCTCCTTGATGGCAAGGGCCTCCAGCATGGAGCTCACGGATGTCCATGTTTGGTGATCTGTGAACAAAGCAAACTTCAAACCTGCTGTCAACAGAACAAGTGTTTGGCAGCTTATATGCCTCCTAGATATCCCTAAGCGTATGTATAGGCAGGCTTGGGCGCCCTTTTTCTACCATTTCTACCCATATTGCAGCCTCCCTTAGAGCCAACTGGGCAGGCACTGGCGATGGCATCAACAAATGGTGCCTCAGATGCGCAGATCAGAGCATGTCTCACTTTTTGATAAGGATCACATTTTTTCAAGCTACTAGAAGCAAGGGCATCGCTACTAGGAACAAAGGCATCGCTACTGGTAGCTAGAAGCGACTACTGTAGTAACAAGGCATGTTTGGAAAATGTCAACCTCATCGCCGCCCCGTACCTCTGAAGAGGAGGTGACTACCATAGGTTGCGACCTATGGCAGGAAGTCCTGCCAAAATCTGTGGGACCCCAATAACAGATGACTGGGACGGAAAGAAGCACAATGCACAGCAAAGACAACAAAGCCATTGGGTTCTATTCCGGATGGCCAGTGGAACTAGAATGAAGCGGGCCTAGGTGTCATGCATTATATCCCTGCAATCCCTCCTAGAAAGGCCGGCCCAGGGCCCAAAACTACCATCCATTGGACGAGGTATGTGCATCATGAAGGAGGTGGCTGGTGTGAGTCCCTGGACGACTGCTTGGGTCGCTCCAAAACAGCACCTCGCTGCAGCCTGCTTTGTTTGGGGGGTGGGGTCCACTGCAGATGTAGATATACGTTGACTGCCCCGCAGGGCAGTTTTGGTGCATTCAGACTGAATGATGCAAGAAGCGGTGATAGAAACACTGGGTGGAGATGGGTCAAACGGGCCTCCGGTCAATCAATGTATGCACCAACCACGCCGTAGTATGCACCAACCACCCTGGCATCAAATGTGGAGCACTCAGAGAGCTAAGGATTTGGGATCTTCGGCGCGCTATCCCGAGAAGATTCCACTCAATGGCAGAAAGCTGAGCGACTAGCATGATCCCAACCCATTTCGCACCCACAGCTAGCGAATTTGTGTTTGCCGAACGTCCGGGGGTCTTTGAGGTGGATATTTCTCAAAAGATCCTCAGGACAATCCGCTGATGCACCTCAGATTCATGTTGATATCACAGATTCGGAACTGACAGCTACCAGACTTGTCAAGACTCATTCGTGTGTCACACGTGGTTTTGCTGCGGTTTTAACCGCTTTGGAAGTTGGCTGGCAGCGGCCGAGGTACAACTGGAACAATGTGTTCATGAAGTACTGTTGGGCACCCAGTTGCATGCGCAGACATCAAAGCCAGCGTTGCACAAAAAATGTGTCATGTGCTGTTCAATTCTGTCACCTGCCCGGATAGAAGAAAATTAGATGTAGATAGGCTCCGGATTGCCCACAACCTTCAGATGCACAGGTGATGGTGCCAGCTTCAGTGGAAACAATGATACGGCATGCTTCCCAGTTGTGATGCTTCAAATACAATGTTACCGGCTTCACTTGAAACGTTTTGAAACCATACGTTTTTGCATCATACCTAAATAAAGGCTATATCAAGATGATTGGCCCTGCCGAGGTCACCAAATATCAGAACACCTCGCTATTCTTTCGTGGTAAGCGAATCAGAGAAGCTATTGTGAAGGAGCAGCTCTGAGTCCCTTGAGTTTGTTTGAACATTAGGTTGGGCGCCGTCATGCCACCCTTAAGGTGCACGCCAACATCACCACTAAACCTGTTTTTCGGTGCAGGATTTGATGGAGCAACATGGCCTCAACCAAGCGACCGACTTGATGGTCTCTGGTTGCAGTGCTGGCGGTTTGGCAACATACCTTCATGCAGATCAATGGTGTGAAGCGCTCCTTCCCTGAGACAATGTCGGGAGCGACGGGCCTCGTCCAACCCATTGGATGGGGGTTGGTTTTGTCCAAGACCTCTCCGCGTATCGTGTCGTCACGGGGTCCCAGACGCTTGGTACCCATATCAGTGGATGCGGCACGGGGTCCCAGGCACTCGTACCCAAAATACGCCGGAAAGCTTGGGGTGAGAACACTGAAAAGGATGTTGGTCGTGCGAATTCGGCTGTTGATGCTAGTTCCAGGTGCTGCCCACTATATAAGTGAAAGGAGTCAGAACTCAAAGGGAATATGCGCCACGGGGTGGATTGCAGAATTGGATAATAGGATATGAGAATAGGCCTTTCAATGCCTTTCATTTGTGTGCTTCTGCTTTCACAAGAAACGGTAGGCCAGGCCACCCAGGCTGACATGCCAAGGCTGCAGGCGGCCAATCCTTCGGCCAAATGCGCGGCCTTGCCAGACAGTGGCTTTTTCCTGGATTACCAGGAGATGGCAAGCAGTCACCAGTTCCCATAAAACCTGCATACCAAAAGCCAAAGGATTTTGATTTAGCAAGCACGATGAAAAGAGAGAGAGAGAGAGGGAGAAGGAGAAGGCATGGTAGCTTGAACAGTTATTTTATGTTAGTTGGTTGGCTGATGGCTGCCTTTGAGTCAGACACTGGTCCCAAAAACCGGAGGACCCAGAGGTGCCATGCACACCTCCGAGTTTGCTTGGGACAACCATCAACGGGGACTATCACTGCGGCTTGAAATGGACTGGGTTGGCATGCTGACAGAGTGAGGTGGAGTGAGAAGAGGTCAGAATCGTAAGAACAATGCCAAAGAATAAAAATGAACGTGCGTGTATAATAATATATATATACAACTATATATTTTTCTGTACGGTACTGAGATAAGTTCAGTTGAACTGCAAAACCGCAGGTTTTAGCCATACTGCATGGATGCAGTTGGCCTTATTGGGTTCAACTCCTTTGAGCATGCTGCCAGGACATTCCACATTCAGAATGCAACGGCCGGCATTGACTCGAAATGCGTTGCCAAGCATACAAACGAGGAGAATCAAAAGCTGTGTGAGAAGTTACAGTGATAGTCACGATTAGCTCTTAAGTTGCACTCATGCTCAGCAGGAATGGAAGTGCATGTTTGCAGAGCATGCCGCGGAGCATATCCAGACGCCAGTCTTCGCGATGCAGTCTGTGTATGTACTTTGCATGCATCGATTCAGCGCAAGGTTGCCGGTGCAGCTTCAAAAATTGGCGGCTTGTTTAGTGGTTCTATTCAAAATTCACGAACTGCAGTCTTTGTGATGCTATCCGATCCACTGCTAGCTGGGTGCTACTCTGGGTGCTAGCTGGGCTGTCTTGCTTCATCATTTGGCCAAAGCCTGATGCGCTGATGCGCTTGGCCTCAGGATTCATGGCAGGTCGGCCACGTGGAAGGCACTGGAGGATCAACAAAAACTCAAATGCTGGGGAAGAATATCACAGAGCGATGCTTGGTGCGCAGAAAGGGGTCCACTCTTGCGATGGAGTGGGCCATATTAATCCTGAGGTGCACTTTCACAGAGTTAAACCCCTACAACACGATTCAACTCGGCTGTTTTTACACTGGGATTTTTCAGATCGGGCCGCCCACGGCCAAAGAACTTTCAAGATGGTTGCGCATGGCAAAACATCTGGGAAAAGCATTTGGGTTCCTGCCAACAAGATTGTTCTTGTTTCTGCTACTCACACGTGTTCTTGCTGAGGTTTGGTGAAGAACTTGCTCGGAAAGAACCCCAAGTCGGGTGCTTTCCTGGATGGCTGCTATCATCACTGCGGGGCTTGGAATTTGATCCGCATTGACGGAGACCTCGTGTCAACTGCCATTCAGCCACTTGGATGGCAGCTGGCAAAGTTGGCGCACAGGCAAGATGTTGGGAAATGCAGCAGATATTGTTGGAAGCTGTTTCAAAGCTACTCGTACTAGCTTCACATGCACATACACACCGCAGAGATGTTTAGAGTGATAACGGGATACTGCTTTGAGGAAATGGTACGATGGCCTGAGCACGGAGGGCAACAAGCGTCTCTGGAATCAAGATCGGCCGTTTCCTTGTAAGGATTGCAACTTGGCCAAACGAATCGATTGAAAGCGGACAGCTACCATGTTTGCAAATGCTGGAGTCATGGTAACAAGCTCCGGAAAGCGCAAAATCTCAGGTTGCAGTCCAGGGGCAGAGGTGACCGAAATCATCCTGTAAAGCAGGCCTTTTTGTCCGGATACTTCTGACTCAAGTCTTGCGAAGTCCACTCCCAGAGATTGTGACACGACAGCCAGCCTCTTCATCAACCAAAGCTGCAGCACTCGCAAGCAGTGCCGCAATTCAACATTCCTGCCTTTTGAATCGCAGGGCTGAGCAGATGGGACAGAAAACGGGAGAAAAACCGAAGCTTCTGCGGAGTGGTTGTGAGTGACATGTCCAGGAACTCTACTGTAATCCTCAAAGGTGAGATCAAGTTCTGAGCTTTGTATCAGATGGCCCCACCACTCCTGTCATACATGGTGGTCCAATCATTGTAGCGGCGTTTTGATTTACAGTGGCATGCATGAGCATGCATGCGCTTGAGCAAGCAAGCTATGCCATCGAGTTACCCAAGTTTACGACAGTCGATGCGATGAGCACTGAACACCAAAGACCAAAACCGTAGAATCACTGGAACCAGTTGTTGTTGGGCGTGCCCATTCCAGCTCGGATGGCGTACGGCCGGTCCTGCTGTTCGGCCCTCCCCATGCATGGGGCGGGGACCGCCGTCGGTCGCCTTCGGTCGCCCTCCCAAGGCCTCGGGCGGTGAAGGCCGAAGGCCCACCGAAAGCTGGAGCCTACAGGCGACCACTGGGACGTGGGATGAAAAGGTACTGGTTTTAACCGAAGCTAACCCAAAGGGAGCCCAACGGGTGGCCCAATTGGTGGCATCCTCCAACTCTTGGGAACATCACCGTGGAGCTCAGTTGGTGGAACTTCAGAATTGACCAAACTGCTTGTGATATCTTAGGAGAACGTGAGAACTCCAAAGAAGCAGAAGACTCTTTCAACATTCCATGGCTTGCGATGACTTCACTTCAACATGTTCAAGCCTAAACAGATGCACCTCCGATCATCGTCATCAGTCACACAACATCGCAGGCGGAAGCCAATCAAACCGTCCATGCCAGAGCCCTAGTGACAAGCCTATCCGTGACTCTGCGCATTTATGCTCCACTCTTCGGTCACAAGCGACACCCCTTGATGGACCAGTCAAGGGCTGCTCCTTCTTCCAAGGCTGCGGTTCTTCTATGAGCCATGACCTCAGCCTCAGATCGCTGGAGCTCTGAAAAAGCTCGAAACGGTCCAAGAGGGAACTTAGTATATGGTAGATTACAGATGAGTACAGTAGATATATATATATAGTATATAGTCATCCTGGAGTAGATAGAATAATGGAAGATCCAACTACAGGCAAGACGGCCCCTGAGAGAGTGAGTTTGTTTTGCGCGCAGTTCCCACCTGGACAACCCTAATTAGGGCTTTCCACGTGAGAGTCGAAAGTTGAAAATAGCTTTTGCTCCCGTTTCATTGCAGTCGTCCAGACAGGCCGATCTTTGGTTTGTGGGTGGTTTGACCCCAACAGCTGTCTATCTTTTGTTGTAGAGATTGTTGCAATCTTCCTCTGAAAACCTTAACCTCCAACAAAGCCGAATTGATGGATGCACCTCAATCTCAACTGCTTAACAATAAGATGTCCATTCTCATCACTGCAAAGCTTGCTTTTTTCAAGCAAGTGGCTGGATTCTTTGGTTTGTATTCGTGCGTTCCTAGTTCCACTGAATTCTGCAATATTCTGCACGTCCGGTACATACTCCTCAAGCCGCTCAGGAGGGGCGATTTGCCAGTGCAAATATACCACGGCGCCATGGGATACTTGCTTGCACTCCAGTGTGGTAAGGTAGAGAGAGAAACAGCGCGAGATACCTACATGCAAAATACATGCAGAGAATTCGACAGCGACTGAGTCCGACTGAGCGACCTTTGTTCGTAACGATTGAAAGCAGACAAGTTACAGTATATAAGTAGAACTGCATATCATAGTTTGCTTAGCAGCTTAGGGGTCCTTCCTGTAGATTTGCTTCGCTGCTTCGTGCATCTCAGGGAAGCTCTTGTGGAAGGTGGACGCCTGGAGCTCAGAGCCGCCCCCGAGGGACGTGCCAATGCGACGTGCCATGCGAGGGCGAAGCGAAGAAACCAGGTGGAGAAGCTCGACTATCACCACTACCTGCCCATCTTCTTCGATGGTTTGCGGGAAAAGGAAGACCCTTTCCGGCCCCAAGACTCAGTCTGAGAGAGAATAGGAATGGTAGGAAAAAGAATCGAGATACATGTGTATATATGTATTTGTATGCAATTATATAGATATACGTGTATATATATATGTGTGTGTGTGCGTGTGCGCGCGCATAATCATTTACCTTTGCCATCGCCATTGTCTGACAGATTTTAATGCACCGTGGGTGTTTAATGCAATTAGTTTGCATTCGGGGCTTCAGCTTGGTTTCTATACTCTCCAAGGTTTATGGCAGTCACCGGGGCATATGATATGCTTGAGAAGGTGCGACGGATCAAGATGAAGGTTCTATATTCGTCCATCTATGAGAAGAGAAGTTGGATTGACAGACCTGCTGTGTGGATACTGAAAGGGCCGTTCGTGAACCAAGTCCAACACACTAATTACCCAGTCACCCGTCAGGGTGGAGACCGGATTTTGCCAGTCTGCAGCCCAGAAGTTCTGCAGCCCGAAGGACATGTCAGAAGAACTCGTAGCTTCATGGCACGGAGGCATCCAGGTGCTAAAGTGGGTGTTGGATTCTCTAAGGGTTGTTCTGCTGGTTCATGCTGCCCAGAGTTCACCGCTTCAGGTGGTGCCACAGCTGGTGATCCCTCTGAAAGCAGCTCTCAACACTCGCCAGATGGCCAAGACAAGGGTAACCAGCTAGGCTAGAGGCTGAACATCGTGTGTGCCTAAATGCTTGTTGGGCCACTGTTGCCAATGCTTGAGCTGTTCGGATATTCGTTTGGGTTTTATCATGCAGGGTTCGTTCACAATGTGAACATGTATGAAGCCCAGGCGATCCGCAGATCATGTGCACCACCCTAAAGCTCATGCAGAAACTGGTTTTGAGCGGAGATGCTTGACGCAGAATAGACGGTGTTGGTCGAAGACTCGGGGTTTTTGATCGGCAGCCACGCTGAATTTGGGTACGAATTATTCCAGTGTGACGTTCCGGGTTCCCCATGCCGTTGCGTCAGCAGCATTCACGAAAACACCCGAAAGATAACAACAACTGGAATTGAGTTGAGGGGTGCCTGCACTCAGTCCACTCACTACTCATACCTTGAACATGGAACCACGGTGAACATGCAAGCCCGGAAGGTTTTTTCGAGTGAAGTGAAGAAACACACGGTGTGGTTCATGATTGTTCGGTGTGTGTGCAACAACTGTGTACAATTGAGCATATTGAGCTGCATCCACGGTACTTCTAGAAGAGGAATGTGTTTACTTCCGGGGCACATAAAGCCGCCTCGCCTGCCTCATTCGGGTGATTGGTTGGACGATTCCACCACTCTAAGCAAACAGTGTTTATGTTTGATGTCCTCATGCGCCGACAACCTCAACGTGTGCTCAGACAGGATTAGAAAAGAAGGAGAAGAAGTTGCATGATTCGGCTACAATAGAAGTTTCTCTAAGATCCTTTTCCTTTTCAATCCCTCGTGCACGTGGGTTGTCTCCAGCACGCAGCACACAGCATAATCACAGTCACCTTAGCAGCAATGCAGCACAGCAAATCTGGGATACTTCAAGCAGCGGCTGCAAAAATGAGCAGCCGAGAAATTTCTTGTGAACCTCTTGCTGCCCTGTGCCTGCCAAGGAGATGATTGGAGAGGCATCAGTTCCGCAGATGGCTGATTTTCCAGCCAAGTCCATATGATTGTGCAGTTTGCATATCTTCACCGTTCTTCACCTATTGTGTGGGTCGCATTGCATTGGTCAAAATGGTCTAAGGCGGCCTGGCAGTGCCTGGCCGTGCCTGGCAGTGGCAGTATTGGTTAAAGATGTTTGTTCGCTGATCCGTCGTGATCCGTTGTGTTGGTCCGCCCGTGGAGGTCACACAGAACTCCCCCCATTTGCCACCCGGCGACGCATGCGACAGGCCTTAGTGCCTTACTACAGGCAGATCTTGTCCGTCTCCCAGAGTGATGTGTAGCGTCTATTAGTTTTTTTGCGGCTGTCTCGCGTGGACAGTGTGGTGTTTTGCGATGTAGGTGATTGAATGTCCTTCACTGCAGCATGACAACACTAATATATCTAAGAACGATGACAACAATAGTAACTACACACACACGGAATGTCAGTGTGTTGAAGCATGAGCCATATGTGAGCGCAAATGCCCTGAAGGCCGCCATGCTCGCTATTCAAGAGTCGGAATATTCCTTCAAAGGACTGGTATTGGCAAAGACCCATAAGCCAGATCCATACGGCACTTTGATTGTGCAGCCAGTTGGCAAGAGGGGAAGAATATGCAGTTGTCGAACCACAACAGGGTGTCATAAAATGACCAGTCGCATGCAACCGGTCAAAGGCTATGTTAACAAGCCAGGCACTATTGCAGCATGTGCAAATGTGCTGGACTTGAAGGATATGGGTGACTACATGGATTATGGCCAGCGCAAGAACTTGTGCTTGGGTGATCTCATCACAGATGCAAAGCTGCATTGGTATGTTGGACTGCTTGAAGTCTTGAAGTGGGCAGCATGTGCGGAGTGTTTCTTCAACACCTCTTCGAATGTGGTACACTGCAAGTGTGGTAGCTTTTTTAGATTCGTGCCAATGATTGAATGTGGTTGCAATCTCTGAGTTTTTTTCCAGACACTTCAGTCATTTTCGCACCAAAGCACAGATGTCCGAAAGAGAAAAAGTGACGAGCTTGTTGGACTAGTGTTGGATCTCTTGGGTGCTACAAGAAAAAGGTTTCATGGTACATACAGCTGCAAGACTTCTTTGGAACTACGACACCCCTTTTATTGCTTCGCCAAGCTTGGCGAAGACCGGTGTATATCAATTGTTTGGACCATGTTTTCTATTGTTTGCGATCGCGTGTGGCTTCAGCAAGGAAACCCTACAGATCTTGGAAGAGCATGGAGGAGTGGAGCACCATCCCTGGTGGAGCAAGCACTCTTCCTTGCACTTGTTGTGATTTTTTGCGAATCCCGAAGATGCACAGAAGAACAGGAGATGATGCCTTCATCAACATCAAATATGTGGTGCCAACGTATGAAAGTTGTGTTCTTTGTGGAGTGCCTTAGTTGCAGTGAGACTTTTTTACTAGGGGTTTTAGTCTGTGCTAATCCCATACAGATGAGTTCCCATTCTTCAGGTTTTAATACCGCGTATATACTCTTTCACCGCTTAAGTGACCACACTCGTGCGAGTCGGATGTGCTCAGTTCATGACAACAACTGCAGTGCTTTTTGGGTTTGAGGTGTGACGAGCACCTGCAGCCACTGTACAATATCAGGCATGGTGGCAAGACTAAGCAGCCAAGTAGAAGTGTTGTCGTTGCGCGTGTGAGGATGTGCCAGCATCTTCAGACATGATCGACCAGAGGTGGAACCCATTTTGAATGTATGAAGCCATTTGGCTGAGCCTAAGAAGGTTGGTTGGCAGCACACAATGGCGAATATCGCGATTAGGCAAAGGGCTTAGTGAGTAAAGCATCTGAGCAGTCTATGTACACATGGGTTGGTTGGTGCTCAAGATGCAACAAACAAGGCACTCAGGCCAAAGAATGCCTTCACAGCTGTCGCCTGTTAGGCCTGGGCGAGCTTGTACATGGCCGAGCCTGAGTTACTCTAAACCATTTCTATAGAGAACCTCGAGGAACCAAGCGCCATGCGTGGAGACCATTGGACTGTGGTGGCCCGCAGCATCTTAGTTCGGTCTGGGTCAAGCGTGGCTTCGGAGGCACTGGCTGAGCCTCAGAGCATCATATGTGTGAGCATCATGATTTATCCATTTGTGCACATTATGGACAAAATATGTATAAATCATTGTCTTGAGTCAGCGGCACTTCATATTCTTGGTTGGCGAATCAAAGCAAGCTGCAGCGTGTGGCTCAGGAGCGTTTGTCATTTGGAGCAGTTCTTCTCGAAATGGACATGGTGGGGGAGCGCCTCCAGTTCAAGAAGCTCCAAGGCTATCCATTGGGGTGTTGCCATGGAGCTTTGAGAAGTGTATCGCTTGCAACTACAGAACCATTCCAAACACCATCCTGATATGAAGTGATTGGAAGTGCCCCAAGCAGTTTCTGAGAGATTCCGACTAAGCATGCATGCTCTTTGGTAAGTCTTTGCAGGCGAGGGCCCCGAGTCCGGATGGGTGACCATCAAAGTGCAGCTCGGCCGCATGACTCGTCGGCGCTGCAACTCGTCGGAGCGCACTGTAACTCCGCTTGGCGTCAGTTTTCCTCGCTGAGACGAAGTGCTTCTCCGCCAGGAAGGAGAAAGTGCTGGTGCAACGCGCCATCGATGCGCTCGTGCTTCCCGAGAACGTGCTTCGTTTATGGGCCCTGTCCGACATTCACACGGACAAAAAGGAGAACATGCAATGGATCCGCGAGTTGGACGAGAATGCGTTCATTTGGATGAAGGGAGTTGGCTGATGGGTAAAGCCCCCACAATTTGGAGTGTAGAACCTGGTCATGTGATGTTGTGTGGGGGATTTGATTCATCAACAGTCTACGTGATGTTGGAATTCGTTCGACCTGATTTGATCATTGCAAAGTCAAAGTAGTGGAAGCCTCAAACAATATCAAACTATGGGATAGAATAGGATGGGGTTGCCACGGATTGTCGACAGGATCAGATGTATTAACACGCGGCCTTTTCATGATCTTCTTGACTGCCCGTTATGACAGCCGCTGCGAAAATTACGTCGAACGATCCGCAACCATTTTTCATGGTTACGGCTGATGCTGCTGATGTCAGGTTTCAGGAGGATGTTCTCATTTTGGCCGGTGATATCGCGAACACGATGGAGGTGCTTGAAGAAACCTTGCTCTTATTGAAGGCCCGCTTCCAGCGTATTTTCTTTTGTCCAGGCAGCTTGGCCGATTGGTGGAACACATGCCCTGTGATGGTTTGGCCTTGGGGCGGTCGGCGGTTGCTCAAGTTGAAGCCACAGACAGATGAAGTGGGAGACTTTGGCCTCCAGCTGCGCCGTGGGGGATTTGAGGGGACTTCAATTGGAAAGGCACTAGTTATAGTGTTGCAAGGGGTGGGGGAAACCAAGACACACACACACACACAGAGAATCTAGGAAGAATCCTTCGTAAGATGCAAAGACGTAAGATGTGAACAACTTGTGACAGGTAAAGTGTTTGCGTTGCTGCCAGCTTTGCAAGGAGTCGGTTCCTGCACGCTCAAGAAAGAACAGCACATCAAATGCGGTCGTTTTTACTGGCGCAGTCTTGTGTAGGGTTTCACCTCGAGGCAACCATGACTTGTGGATGCAAGGATGGAAGGGTGGGAATTCAATGGATACTTGGCAGCTGGTCACGCGCGTTGTGGCAGTTATGTCCGCGATGTTTAGATGGCATAGATGCGATGGCTTGTAGCCCATCGTCTCTTGCAGGTGGGCAGAGACGGATGTGGTCGGTGTATATGGGCCACTTGTTGATCTTGAATTCTCAGTGGGTTTTTGCTGTTAGTTTTTTGACGATTCTGAGGACAAATTCCATGCAATTATGGAGGTTTGCAAATCGTGCGGCGTTGCGCCCTGGACGCGGCTGTAGTAAGTTAATCAGTCTCGGATTCACCATGCTATGCTGTGGCAGATTTTGTGGTACAAGTTCCCCCCGCCATGGAATCACCCGATCATCAACAAGTAAACCAATTTGAATTGCACCCTCTCATCTGAGGAAACCACACCTGGCATCCTGAACACAGGCATGCCGGGTTACTGTAAAAGTTTTGGGCTCAAGAGCCTTCCGGCCATTCTGAACCCGGACGTCATCCCAGATGCATCAACCCTGCAGGTGCTGGGCGTCTCGTGGTCGTGCCAATACTGGCTTGGCATCATCCACAATGGGATACCGAGCCAGAACTACAAGACTCCTGGCTGGTGAAATTGGAGGAGCACTACGTAATTGACCATGTAAACTCTTGATTATATCTTAACCGCCCATATCAAGACCTTTTTACAATCCAAATGGTGCGAGGGTTTTAGGAATCAAGAGTCTACATTACCGTGTTCACTTTGGCTTGGACACAAGTGCTTGACTGTGATCAAATCTATGAGTCGACATCCATGTTCATCACTGTTTTTGAGGGACCAAAGCCTTGTAGAAACAACTAGCACCAAAAAAACTGCTAAGGAATGGCAAGTTCCGGCACTTGAAAAGACAATGGCCGAGACTTCCTTGCAAAAAGATGTAGATGGCCACCATAGACATACTCCAGCCACTCCGGGCCAAGGACTACTGGGCGACCAGATGGCCACAAAAGTTGCGCATCGAAGATGGCAGTGTCGCTGAAGCGTTTGATCAGCTCAATGAACGCTGCGGCTCAGACTGCACGGGAAAATTGTTCTATGCAGTCCTACTGGTTGGGGTGTTTGGGAGTCCCTCAGTTCCATTGGTTTCACCCTTCGCGCCGCGGATGGGGGAAACCACCAATCTTGCGGATGGGCTTCGACAGAAGTGCTTGCCAGCAGCGGCTTCTAGCATGTTGAGGCTTTCAGAATGTGATGCAGCGGCGAGATGAGTTCCAAGCAGTGGTATCCTTCTCACACTTTGTTCCACGGATTGAGTTGAACCCTGAGAAGCGATATTTGATCCCATCCTCCTTGGCCAAGGCAGTTGCTTGGACACTTCTCACACACTTGAAGGGTGGAAACAATAGGGTGGGTCGGGGGAGGGGGAGGTTGCTTGGAAGATGTGCCCATGTTCCCAGAGCTTACACGGTTCCTTTTCTTTGTATTCTTGCAGAGTTGCTCGGGCTCCCAGATACCTAGGAGAAGAAATGGTTGGTTTTGTGCATGACTTGAGTCCACACACATAATTACACATATTGCAGTTGCATACGCATAGGATTAAGAGGGAGAGAGCGACATTCACTAATAGAACTTGCTCAAACAACGGATCCAAAAGGCATCCATCACTGGGCCTTGTTTGGTTTCTTTGTTGCCTATGTGCCCTCCCTACTCTTGCCGAGGTTGGCTCTGCATACTTGAAGGAGAGGGTCGAGAAGTTTCTGGAGTTGACTTGAAGCATTTTCCATTGTACTTTCTTTTGTGCTTTTTCGTGAGGCGCCTGACACAGGGATGTGAAGGGTGACCCCCTTTTGGGATGTTTTTCAATCCTAGGCACGGGCTGAGATCCAGGCTAATTTCACTCATGGTGGTTTCACAATGTTTCACCAACACGCGTTTAGAAACGGTGGTTTCAGGCTGAAACCTGATGTGCATGTCTTTGGGCATACCCATTTTGGCTACGACATGGAGCTGGACGGTATTCGTTATCTTCAAGCTCCACTAGCCACACCTGCAGAGCGGGTTTGGGCAGGTTCTTTGGTGACACTTGGTGGCTTCCCTATCGAGAGAAAGTCGCTAAGCTCCACCATGGTTGTTTTCGTGTCCGATTTAATTGGATTGTGCGCGTTTAGCATAAATAAGGCAGATACACTTCCCAAACCACCCCTCACTCGTACTGACAAGTTTGAGGAGCAACTTGACTCACCTGTTGTGTCTCTGCATGTTTCTATGCATACAGTGGGATGCTTAGGCCATGTTTGGTGTGGACATCAGATCTGGGCTTTGCAAGTACCTATCGAAGCTCCTGGTCGAAGTATTACCAGAGATATGGTCGACAGCCTGCAGTCACGGATGTGATCCCATCATTGTGCTGCAACCTTTACACGCCAAGCTCGGCCAGTAGGACTGGATGGATTGCGGGTCGGATGCCCATTTGGCTCTTTGGACCTTTGCCAAGCCGTATACAGGAGGCAGAAATGGTCATCAATGAGGCGAACGTCGCACCAGCGGAGTCATCATACATGCCAACGCAAACCGCACCAGTCGTCCAAACAACTTCTACTTCTACTACTTCTCCTTATCCTGCTCTTGCTCCTACTCCTGCCACCACCACCGTTAAAGAATATCCGCTCGTGATCAACAGATACCAACTCCTTGGGTTTTGGGCAGTCGTGCAAGTTGATTGGCCCTTTCTTGTCGATGGGAGCGTTTGAAGACTTGGGACGCCCAGTATCCAGGTGTATAATGTTACATTCGTTATTAGAGGGGGGGTGGGTATGTCTCCAAGTCTCTAAGTGTTTTTAAAGGTTTCTATTATGTTTTTCTTGAGCTGAATTTCATAAATATGGATCCTGACTATTATTATGCCTCCAAAACCCTGATTTGGGGTTCAAGTTTTGTAATTAAGGATGAGCTGCTTGATACGAATTGAAGATTAGAGAGGTAAGGAGGGGTCTCCCTATTTATATACAAGGATTTTAAAGGCCAAGCAAATTCAAGCAACTTCTATACATCATCAAGTTCTGCAAATAACTGGATCAAGTACAGCATATTAAATAGATTAAGAGTGCATGAATTACATGAGAGTCTATTGTTTTTCGTTGACGTCATTCGGAGTGGCCGGCACGCCTGCCCGGCACGCCTGGAGGTTCGGAACATCACTGGCCGTGCGGCGGTTCTCCAGAGGAGTGCGAAAGGGAGAGAAGCTCGGCCAGTTACGGTGCTTTCTGCCGCTGGCCTGTTGAGTTTGGGCTCGATGGCTCATGGTGGCTCAGGCGTCTGGCTCAGGGGCGTAGCTCGAAAAACCTTGGGCCTCAATTTGAGTGTAGCTGCCTCCAGTTCAAGGCTTTGGATTTGTCACGTGTCCTTGGATGTTGGGAAGGTTGGGCTTTTAAGATGCTCTTGCAGAGGTAGAGTTGCCCTCGCACCCACGAGGGTGTCAGAACATCGCGACCTGCACGTTTGAGGAGAAGTTGCCTCCAAGTTCTCAGGGAGATCCCAAGATGTTAAGAGGAGAAGAAGCATTAGGACACTTGCTTGCATTCCTAAAGGCTGTTGTATACATGTTGTTGTTGCTAGCGGAGAGTTGAGCAACCTGAAACCCTACGGGCCCTAGGAAGAAGACACAATGTGGGAATCATTCAGGACACATGTTTGTTTGGACACTTTACGCCAATTCTGAGTTGAGAATCTGCAAGCGCAGACGTTTGATGGTTGACGTTTCTTCAATCAAGGCTTATTGAAGATGCACAAATTGCAAAAAGTGTGTGCTTGTACTGTGTTTGTGGGTGCCGCAAGTGCTGGTTTTGGATGATGGCTTTGCGTTTGTAGCTGCAATCTCCTTCCCTAGGCTTGCATGCAGCAGGAGCGCATGTGTTCATCGACGTCCGCCCTCCAGGCTTGGCTGTTCAATACATTTTGCAGGAATGCGTTTCCCGTAGTGCTTGCCTGACTGCTAACCCCTTTCGAGTCCAAGCTTGAAATTGAGCAGATGGTCACATGCTTGCTGTTGCATGCTAGTGCAAAATGGCATGTGATGTGAAGGTGCAGCCGGTGGCTGCATTCCGGGTGCCATATCACTGCCCCATCCTGCTGCTACTGAGACCCTGGCATCCTTGGACGATGATGTCTTGTACCTTGGAAAAAGAAGACATGCGAGGATATATTTATATATAAATATATATATATGTGCATATATGACATAGAATAGGCATGTCCTACATGCGTTTGGTTCCAATATGTTCCAATCCCTTTGGCCAAATTGGAGTAGAACCACGTATAGCTGCACCGCAACGCAACACGGGCGAGAGTGTTTTGAAAATCAGCACCCTGCTCACTTGAGTTGGATTAGGATTAATTCATATGGACGAACGTCCTCAAAATGTAAAGTCTTGATAAACTTTGTAAGCTCTCGGCCTTGTGAACTTGCCATTGACGTTTGCCTCGCACAGATGCTGGTCAGGAACGCACATTCAACCGAGAGTAGTCTATGTTTGCTGCAAGCCTTGCTTGGTTGGACTGAGGTTGCAGCTTTGTGAGCGCTTGAACGTCACTTGGATCAGCGAGACCAGGATACTGTACATGATGAGGCAGGTCTTTCAAGCAAGTCGCGAGGCTTTCTGTGGCTCGCAGCCTGGCAACCCCAAATACATGAGTGCGCTTCGGATGAACCTGTGTTTGGGGGTTACTCTCACCCAGGTAATGGGAACATATTCAGCTCTGAGGCCAAGAGTGGCAACATGATCATCTATGCAGAGGAGGACGAATCGTCCTGGGATGCTGCGCTACTTTTGGCTGGATATTTTCGAATCTGGCCCACTGCAATGAACCTTGACTCAAGTACAATGTGTCCTCTAGCGAGGGTCACTTCTCTTGTTCTTGATTTCTCCTTGTCGTCCTGACAGGGTGCGTTGTGAATTGACCATACACTTCACGATGTACGCAGACATGTGCTTACCCGTCTGGGTACACGATTCCGACAAAGGGCATGCGTGCCTCACGACTTCTTCTCCGATCCGATCTCGCTACTAAAACCAGACTCTCGAAGTTTAGTTCATCAAACATCCGCTTTTCGTCCAGGAGTTCGATACTTAGAAAGTACTGGCAAGACAAACCTTTACCCAAGGCATAAAAAGACAGGAGCAAGTTCCCTCGTTCGCCTTGGGTTTCACAGAAGCCTAGTTGGTGGAATTGCGGCCCGACCCAATTTGCCTCAAACTGAGCTCGCGTCTACCGTCTACCTTACTCAATGATTATTTGTCTCTTGCCGGACAGCCCTATCCATTAAATGTCCGGGTACCGTTCCAACCCCGCTTGGATAAGGCCTTAATTTCCCCAATCCATGATCTCGAGATGTCTTTTGAAAAGGGACATAACTTGTATCAGCGCGTCAAGAAATGCATTCGCCTACAACAAGATTTGTCCCAGCTCTCGTGGAACATCAATTAGATGCATACTGGCCATTCCGTTCGTAGAAATTTGCGAAAGACACAGACTGCGTATTACACCGGTCCATGTCTTCTTCTTTCACACGTGCATATTTTGTACATCACTTGTCTTCTGTCAATACCCACCCTAGAGTACCCCACGAAGTGGAAGGGCTGTTAGGGGCGCGACACGGATTGAGCAAGCTGGTGTGTGACAGGGTGCATTGTTTATTCTGTCTAGGCTTATCATGTCCAACAAGCAGTTGTCCGACGGTTAGGTATGTTTCATGGAGAGCGTTGCCACGAACTTGTTGGTTCATGTGTACAGTTGTTTCAGAGTAGACACTGACCTTCCGGACCTTCTACTTTGCGTCCAGTATAGCTGTGTTGCCTCAGGGCAGTCCTGGATGGTGGTTGGAAGACCTGGCTGCACAGCGGAGGGCCAATTCAAGAAAGCCATCCTTCCTGAAGAAATGCTACCTGACTAATCCAGGCGGCCTCATGGCCTCAAAAAAATGTTTTTTTTTTGCTTTTTGGACGTGGCCGGATGATGTTTGAGGGTGCTAAATTGCATAAAATCATCATGCAAGCTGACGAATCAGTTTAAGGCTTAAGGCATCATTATATCATATTATCATTTGCCTCAGTTTGCCAGCTGAGGAGACCATCATTCATCTATTCCATGCCTTTTGCGTCATGGTCTCAACTGGTACGAGAAGCTTTATGGCGTGATGGAGCGGGTTTCCTAAGTTGATCGATCTCATTTCTTGGAGCTGGCAGCCTTTCTCATTCTGGTCATCCTTCAAGATAGGTTGAAGGTTCACCTGACGATCTCAAGCAGCAACCTGTGGGAGCGCACAGTTCTTGCTACTGTGAAGCTGCCTCCATGGACATCCAATTTGGTCCACGTTCCGATGTTTTTGATGATCATTTGTCCCACTCCACCGGCAGCGGCCCGGGTTGGTAAAGCTTGGAGCTTCCAAGATTCTTGGACCATCGGCTGTGGCAAAAATGCTTGGCAGGTCTTCAAGGTCTTTGTTTTTGAAGATGGCTCTAAGTGGAATAGCTTGCAATCACGACTTCAGCCAAACACTAGGTGCATTCAAGCAGTGGATCCATGATGTTTGAACATGAGTGAGGCTTCCCATCATTTGCCCACCATTGATGTTGATGTACTTACGACACACCTCGTTGTAACTTGCTTTCGGGGATTGTTTTGCTTTGGTTCGGCTTCTTCCATGCACAGGCTTTGCATGGTGACTTTGCGCTCAACAAGGGCGCAGGAGAGCCAAGGCATTCGCCAACAAACTCCGTCTTTTTGAAGAAAAAAATCCATTCAAGGCTTGTTCAACTCAACAAAGTTTGATCATTGGCGATGCGTTTCACTAAAACCGAGCAATGCGCTTCCCTTTCCGAATTAGCAGAGGAGAACCTGTCCTTCTTGCTTCAAAATTCATGCAAGCTCGTGCCAGCAAACCCACGTTTCAAGACTTCATTTTTCCCAACTCCATTCGGCTCAAGGTGGCAAGTGTCAAACCTAGAGCGAGGTGTTTGCGGGTAGTGTGTGCATGAGAGCGGCAGAGCTGGAAGTGGTGTGCAGACTGCTGCCTGCGACGAGGTTTACCACAAGATGGTCTACATTCTACATCAATGAGAGCATGATGTAAGCCCCTTGCTTCCTTCCAATGTTAGCCAACGGAAAATTACACCTCGCAGGCACAGTAATGCGCATCATGTAGGTAGGCACGCCGACCTGCTTCTTTGTCTCAAGATCCTGATGAAGTACAAGCCAATGTCACAGTCCTTCGCTTTTGAAATGTTGGTGAAATGTGCACAGACAGGATGGACAAAGACTGAGAAGGTTAAAGCGCAACTAATGATATTGAACGATGTCAAAAATGTTTAAGACAAACAATTGGCTGGGGTACTCAGCTGTTTACATGGTCGATTTTTTCCATATTGCAAGAGCTATTGCAGCTATTGGATTTCTTACTTCAAGTAAATATATAGGAAGGGGTGCCTGTGTGCCCTGCTAGTGCTGCAGGGTGTCGCCGCCAGGGGTGTGTGGCCATGTGCTTTTTGGAGCCTAGGTTCTGGTGCCGTTGCAGGGCGCTGCTACTAGGTTGATGGGCTGGGTGCTGGTACCGGTGGAGGGCGCTGCCCACAATAATCTTATGCATTCTTATGCTATTTGGGGTCTATGTTGACATAACTTAATTGGGTATGAATCTTATTCTATAATGAAGGAGGATTGTGCGACATGGATGTCTTCCTTGTCGGAGTCGCATACTTCACAGCACTTTGATGATCGTCACGTGCTCGTCCACAGGAATCTGAGTACTCTTGCCATGGAGCTGCACCAATGGGTCGACTTGCCTTGCCGATAGGTTTGGATGGCGCACTGGGGCGAAAAGGCACACTTCGATGCACGAGGGACTGTCGCGGAACAACCTTCACTGGGCCCCTCTTCAACTACCTCCTTCTCGACCTCGAATTGCGTCGGCCCCTTGACCGGCGACGGCCGAGAATGGCTTCGGCTATCGCGGCGTTTTCTCCTTGGAGTTCGGGATCTCTGTTTTGGCTTGAGTTCAACATGCTCCATCTTCGACTGATTCTTGTACATATGCTCAATGACATTTGCAAATTTCTCAACAGTAGCAGTGAGCTCTTGCAGCTTATGATCAATCACGATCATCTTCCGCAGGGCGTCCATGGATTGTAGACGGTGAAGTGTCCTCCACATGGTCTTTTGTCGTCTCTGGTGTTCTCTGGGATCGCTCACTCTGAGCCGTGCAGCACGTGGAATGATCCTTGTCGAAGGTCTCGGTGCTTCAGGCGGAGGTGGCGGCAACGGTGCTCGCCTTGAAGTCGTGGCACGAACTTCCTGTGGCGATGAAACCGGCAACGCTGACATGCTGAAGACCTCGTGATGTGTTTCTGCAATCAAAGCAACTTCCACCGCATCTCATCTCCTGCCAGTGTTCAGAACTATAGTGAACCAAGGTGACACTGAGGCCCACCTCTACAGCAATTGCAGCTGCACATGAACAGAGCGATATCTTCCACCAGTGCACCCTGTCTCAATGATGCAACCGCCGCCCTGCCCGTAGCGTTACATAAAATAATAAAATCCTTGATGTTGCTCATGTTTTCTTTCATCTCTTGGAGTGACAAAATAACATATAAGACACCAGGATTGATAATTCTTGCATATAATGAATATATATATGTATATATATTTATCAAAGATTAAACATTATATCAATAGTTTTTCAATATTAGCATAATTGATATATTTATCAAAGGAAAATTAAAAGAAAGTAAATCTACTTTAGATTATTTGTATATAAATAAATATAGTAGTATATAAATATATATTAGTACATTAATAAAAATAAATATCTATATATTATATATAGATATAATATTGTATATATTTAATATATAAAATTATCCCGGCAAGAGACCCCAAACAGTATGTGTGAGGTCTGTAAGCAGAAAGTCTAGAGATCTAGACGCATTGGGGTCCAGAGAGGTGATGGCGGTGATGAAGTGAATGTGGGTGTGAGTGAGTGCGGGTGAGAGGGAGTGTGAGTGTGAGTGAGAGTGGGAGAGTGAGTGTGAGTGCGGGAGAGTGAGTGTGAGTGAGTGCGGCGAGTGTGAGTGAGAGTGAGGGTGAGACTGAGAGTGAGCGTGAGTGAGGGTTAGTGAGTGTGGTTGAGAGTGAGAGTGTGTGTGCGAGTGAGAGTGGGAGAGTGAGTGAGTGAGTGAGTGAGAGTGAGAGTGGGTGAGCGTGAGTGTGAGTGTGAGGGAGAGTGAGAGTGTGAGAGTGTGAGTGAGTGTGAGTGAGTGTGAGTGAGTGTGAGTGAGTGAGAGTGAGAGTGAGTGAGAGTGAGTGAGAGTGAGAGTGAGTGAGAGTGAGTGAGAGTGAGTGAGTGAGTGAGAGTGAAGGTGGGCGCGAGTGAGTGTGGGCGCGAGTGAGTGTGGGTGAGAGTGAGTGAGCGAGTGTGAGCGAGTGTGAGTGAGTGTGAGAGTGGGTGTGGGTGTCCGTGTGGTGCGAGTGCAAGTGTGAGTGAGAGCGAGTGAGAGTCTGCGAATGGGAGAATGGGGGTGAGTGTGAGGAGTGTGGTTGTGAGCGGGAGTGAGGGTGAAAGTGGGAGAGTGAAAGTATTAATACTTGAAATTATAAAATATTGCGCCTGTTACAAAATTTGTATTTCGAATTTTATTAAGCGGTGTGTGTGTAATGAGATTTGCGTTTCGAGGTTTATTATGCGTTGTATTTGTTACGAAATTTGTATTTCGAGGTATATAAATTGTTGTATTTGTTAAGAATTTGGATTTCGAATATTATAAATTTTCGTATTTGTCGCGAAAATTATGAAATAAAGTAATATAT